ACAGTGTGTGCTGAAGCTTTACTGCACAGTGTTTCTCTGAGAATTAGATTTTAAAAAGAAACTAACAACATGAGAAAATTTGTGTTCGTCCGTTATACAAAATGCACCTTAGTTTGTAGTCACACATTCATTTGTTATTCACAGGAACAATAAGACGCCGCGTTGAAGAGAGAGGCAACGTCTTACTGAGATGTCCTGGTGATGTTGGAAGATCAGCTGTTCCAACATGGAGACGAGACTCTGGAGAAATAAATGAAAGAAGGATGTATTTTTCCCGTAGAGACAAAACATTAACAATAAGAGAAGCTGAGCCTGCTGACTCTGGACTGTACTACTGTGGTGGGAAACCAGCTGCTTATGTGACTGTGACCAAAGGACAGAGATCTGACAGAGGTGAGACACACGAACCTCTGACCATCAAACATGAAGCCTGTTAGTGTCAGCCTGACTGAGACCATCAGCTTGTGTCTCCACTGTGGTTCAGGAGTGAAACATCCACAGCGAGCACACTGACAGGCTGCTGTTTGACCTGTTCTCTACCTCAGGATTAATGTGAAGCTGTTCTGATAAATAAATGCTGGTCCGATGAGTCGAGTACAAGTATGTCTGCGATGCTTTCATGCAGGAAAATACTTTTTACATCACACTGACTGTTTTACTAGCTATTAAACTCTGTTGAATGTTGTTGTGTTCTTTGCATAATATCAAGAAAAGTGAAAGCAGCTGATGTCACATGAAATTCTATGATAAGGTTGAAAGTTTCTGAATGTCCTCCATCAGCAGCAGTTATTTCATGTCTGATTGGATGGTCTGTCTCTGTTTGACATGTCAAAGCATTTTAACTCATCACACAAACAGGATGTGGCCTTTTTTTCTTCTGTAGTTCTATAGGATATAATGTATTCAGATGCTGTAAACTGACAACACTGTTGGCTTTACCTCATTGTGTTGTTGCTGTGGACCGCTGTGACTTTCCTCCTGTTACAGTCAGCTTTTGAAGGTTTACACTAAACTGACTTTTCCTGTCTG